GATGTATCTCTAATACGTACACCTTTCTAATACATACACCTCTCTAATACGTGCAACTCTCTAATACGTGCAACTCTCTAGAGTTGCACGTATTAGAGAGGTGTACGTATTAGAAAGGTGTACGTATTAGAGAGGTGTACGTATTAGAGAGGTGTACGTATTAGAGAGGTGTACGTATTAGAGAGGTACGTATTAGACAGGGTACGTATTAGAGAGTTGTACGTATTAGAGAGTTGCACGTATTAGAGAGGTGTACGTATTAGAAAGGTGTACGTATTAGAGAGGTGTACGTATTAGAGAGGTGTACGTATTAGAGAGGTGTACGTATTAGAAGGTACGTATTAGAGAGGGTACGTATTAGAGAGTTGTACGTATTAGAGAGGTGAACGTATTAGAGAGGTGTACGTATTAAAGAGGGGTACGTATTAGAGAGGGGTACGTATTAGAAAGGTGTACGTATTAGAGAGGTGTACGTATTAGAAAGGTGTACGTATTAGAGAGGTGTACGTATTAGAGAGGTGTACGTATTAGAGAGGGGTACGTATTAGAGAGGTGTACGTATTAGAAAGGTGTGCGTATTAGAAAGGTGTACGTATTAGAGAGGTGTACGTATTAGAGAGGTGTACGTATTAGAGAGGTGTACGTATTAGAGAGGGGTACGTATTACAATGGTGTACGTATTAGAAAGGTGTACGTATTAGAGAGGTGTACGTATTAGAGAGGTGTACGTATTAGAAAGGTGTACGTATTAGAGAGGTGTCCGTATAAGACGAGCGTACGTAATAGAGAGGTGTACGTATTAGTTAACATTCACCGAAGCACGTAAACGAACGTATATTCAGTTATGTTAATTTGCAAACGTAAGAAATTGAATTCTGATTGACTCCACATGTAATATGTGTAAATGAGACCATAGATATGCATATTGTTTGTAGCCTAAAATGTCCGAATTCTAAAGACTTTATCATGTCAGTTAATCACAATTTCGATTTGAAGCTATGTCGACATGTGTAGTCGTGTAGATCACTATAGAGTCTAGAGATTGCCTAACGTACTATCGCATCGTGCGAAAATATGTTTGCATATACAAAGTTTTCATTCTCGTGCAGACATATGTCCAACTATTTGCACAGAAAATGTTTGAATCTTAAAACTTCCCCAGACAGTAAGAGTCACAAGAGAATACATTAATTAGTCGTTCAGCCTTCAAGGTCAAATCCCAAAAACAGACTGGCCATAAAAATTTTCTAGCGATCCATTTTCTTCTATCGATTTTAAATTAAAATCGTTTTACTCTGGCTCGCCGTGTTTATATGCATGCTTCAATGCTGAAATATCGTTGATATGTACATGTCCTCGCTATAAATCTCGTAATGTCATGATTGATTCATGAACGAATTTAAACTCTTCACAAATATGTTTGCCTTTGGCTTTGGGAATCGAAATATTTACGAAACATACTATATTGAGTAGCGCAATGACAATGTCTATACAGGGTGTCTCAAAAAAAAACAAAATCATTGAAATAACGTATTGTTCGAATTTCAATGCCGTAACACAAAGGATTTTGACAGGGTGATTAATTTGTTTTAAAAAATTAAAATATCTTTGTACTTTATACGTTTGTTTGCTCATGGGAATTTAAAAATGCTTCGTAAATTGTAATATGCGTAATATGCATTCGTGGGTTTAGTACTTTATGCCTGACATAACAAGTTTACGCTGAGTATTACCATTCATTATAGCAGTTATGTCAATCTTTTATGCACTCGTGGGATTAACTTAGTGCTAGGGCATTGAATATCGAACAATACGTCAATTTCAATGATTTTGGGTTTTTTTGAGACACCCTGTATAGTATAGACATCTGGAGCAATTTTGCCGTTTGGGATTTGTGTTTACTTTCATGCAAATTCATAATTATACAGTACAGCATAATATGATATGGCACGAGACTGTCGAGTCATCAAATTCCATTGAAATTGAACTAAATTTTCGTGTACAAACAGCGGCCAAGGCGACTTCCATTCTCCCAAAGTTATATCAGTTAATATTCTGCGGATATTCTGAGGTTAATCAAGTAGGTAAAGAATGGCATGCATCAAGCGTGCCAGTTTATCAGGGAATGAGCAAGACGTCTCGAGTTATAACATCTCATGCATGCAAATTTCGCGTTTACGTTCAGTACGTAAGCAATCGTATGTAAATCACCAACACACTGCCAACTTTCGTGCGAATAAATTTGCCAAACGTTTATCCAATAAGAGCTTGATATTAGACGGTTGAGAACGGATTGATTGCTATCAGCCAATAGGGAACTGTAGTTTTGACGATTGTTTCGTTCAGTAATGAGGCTTTACGTTCGTTTACGTGCTTCGGTGCATGTTAA